AAAAAAAAAAAAAAAAAAAAAAAAAAAAAAAAAAAAAAGAAAAGAAAAAAAAAGGTAGTTTTAAATCAAAGATAACCCCTTCTCGAATTCACTTAGTACTAATGAATAATGAATGGCATGGTTAGAAAATGTAATTTCCTGTTACATCTTTAGACTATAACACAAACCCTTCTTCATAATATTAGTACTATGAAGGTGAAGATGTCTGAAGGAATATAAAGAAACAACTATAAAAAAAGTTTAGGCTGGGTGCGGTGGTTCATGCCTGTAACCACAACACTTTGGGAGGCTGAGGTGGGTGGTCATGAGGTCAGGAGTTTGAGATCAGCCTGGCCAACATGGTGAATCCCCGTCTCCACTAAAAATACAAAAAAATACTTGACTAAGCGAGACAGAATTTTGCTCTTGTTGCCTAAGCTGGAGTGCAATGGCATGATCTCGGCTCACCGCAACCTCCACAAAAGATTTGAACAGATGCGATGCATGAATGACAAACAAGCACATGTAAAGATGCTCAACATCGTTGGTCATTTAAAAATGCAAATTAAAATCACAATGAGATACTAATACATACCTACTAAAATTAAGATCGATAATTCCAAGAATTTGTGGGAATATGAAGCCGATGGAACTCTCATATTGCTGATTGTACAGTCCCTTGGAACACATTTTGGCAGTTCCTTATAAAGTTATACATGCATTTAACATATGAGCCAGTCATTATGGCCTGAGGTATTACCCAGGAGAAGTGAAAACATACATCCTCACAAAGATTTATATGAAAATTCTCTAGCAGCTTGATGCATAATAGCCAAAAACTGAAAACAACCCAATGTCCATCAACAAATGAATGGATAAACAATGGTTTAGCCATATAATAGAATACTACTCAGCAATAAAAAGGAACAAACTACTGATGCATGCAATAACACGGATGAGTTGCAAAAGCATTCTGTTAAGTAGAAAAAAAAAGCATTGTATCCTATATGGTCACATTTATGTTAAATTGTAGAAAAGGCAAAATTCTAGCACAGGTTGTGCATCTCTAATCTGAAAAGACAAAATTCTCCAAAATCTGAGATTTTCTGAACACCAGGTATTATGCTCAAAGAAAATGCTCATTTGAACATTTTCAATTTTGCATTTTTGGATTAGGGATGTTTAACTGCGTAAGTAACTGAAATATTCCAAAATGTGAAATCCAAAACACATCTCATCCCAAGCATTTTAGATAAGGGATACTTGAACTGTGATAGAAAACAGATCAGTTGCCACCAGGGGTTGGGGAGAGGAGACTGACTGCAAAGGAGCATGAAATAACTTTCAGGGTAATGGAAATGCTTTATTATCATGACGGTGACAGTTACTCAAACTGTACATTTAAGTTAGTGAATTTTATTATGTCAATTATATCTCAATAAAGCTGATCAAAAACTAAAAGTCCACGGACAGTGACAAGGGGGATAAAACTTGTTCTGTGGCACGGGGAGACAATACAGAAGCCAAAGGAGAGGGCAGGCAAACTTCTTTGTCTTGGTTATCTGGATGGTTAAAAGACAAAGAAGACAAAGATGAGGATAAAGAAAAGGAGACAAGAAGAGGACAGAAGACTCTTTTCTAAGAATTCACGACTCAGGTCAGTGTGAGCTCATGCTTGGCAGGAAATTATCTGTAGGAAACCTTTGTTGTTCTTGCAGAGATACATTATATTTGATTTTGCTAGCAAAGATTTCCTACAAACAAAGGCCTGCTGAACATAAGCTCACAATTGTGAACATATCAAGAACCAATTAACCATGAGTAAAAGCAAAGCCAATTGAACACAGTCAGATTAGACACTCAGGAATTATAGGTATAGGAATATGAATATTTAAATGACTACAGACATGAAATAGGCATTTAAAACACTAGAAAAAATTATATCTTTCTCTAAAAAAGATCCATCAAAGAACATTAGTTGACTTGAAATAGAACTAAAAATGGAAAGTAAAGTTGGACAGGCATGGTTGCTTGTGCTGTAATCCCAGTACTTTGGGAGGCTGAAGTAGGTGGATCACCTAATGTCAGGAGTTCAAGACCATCCTGGCCAACATGGTGAAACTCCATCTCTACAAAAAGTACAAAAATTAGCCAAGCATGGTGGCTTGTGTCTGTAATTCCATCTACTTGGGAGGCTGAGGCAGGATAATCTTTTGAAGCTGGGAGGCAGAGGTTCCAATGAGCTGAGATTGCACCACTGCACTCCAGCCTGGAGTGACAGAGCAAGACTGTCTCAAAAAATATAAATAAATAAATAAAGTCAATGAAATTAATAACAGGTTAGCTAGAAGAGTGGACATAACTATATATGGAGTCAGTAAACCTTAAGAAGAGGTTTGAAGAGATTAGTCAGAATTCAGGGGAGAGCTTCATTCTAAAGCTATCAGAGAAAGGTTTTAGAAGGGAGGATCTGACATTTATCTAATGGCACTTCAGCCTGGGCGACAGAGCAAGACTGTCTCAAAAAAAAAAAAAAATAGATTAAGCTGATTCAATTTATGGGAAATAGCTGGCCAGTCCTCATTTTCAAACCAATCAAGTAAAAGATCTCTCTCTCTCTCTCTCTCCCCCTCTCCCTCTCTGCTCCCTCACTTCTCTCTTTCTTTCTTTCGACAAGTCTTGCTCTGTACCCAGGCTGAAGTGCAAATCTTG